GAATAAAATAATATATTATTATTATCTCGCTGGCCAAAGCTGGAGAAAATTGAACGAAATCAGTTGAAAAACCCACGCTTTCAACAGTGAGACCAAAACTGATACTACGACATATTATTATGTCACTCAAAGGCTTTTCATGGTACGTATTATTAGATCGTTCAGCTTCCAGCTGTACCAGAAACTATTGATTTTAATTTTCAGGGCGGACAGTTTTGTTTTTATTCACCAGCAACAACTCGCCGCGGGCACGGTCATTATTAATTACTGGATTGTCTCGCCGGCTTGACTCAAACTTCTCAAGGGCCGGTTCTGCCCTCGGGTAGTATTGCCCATGCCTGTCGTACACAAACATTACAATGTATTTTGTTTTTTGTTTTTGTAGAGGTTTTACGGTGCTCGCAACTGCATAAGGTCATATGAGCGCCAGAAGATCAGAGGTGTTACAAGAGGGTAACAAACATAGAAAAGAAGGAGGGGAGATAATAAGGTCGACAGATGTTTGATAGGAAAGAAGAAGCAAACCAAACCAGAGCACCCGCCAACCATCCAAATTACAATATTTTGACGCTGTGAGTTAATTTTACAGGGTCATTAAGTATGACCCCTGTACAGATAGCAATAAAACCATTAAGTTTGACGTTCGGCTCTTCATCGCGCCGCGACTTTTGTCTTATGTTTTAGTCAGAGTTTTACGGTGCTTGCAACACAAATATTATGTCATACAAGTGCCGAAAATTAGAGGAGCAGAGATAAGGATGATAGAAGTTTGACAGGAAAGAAGAAGCAAATCATACCAGAGCACCGGCCAACCACCCGATCGGCTAGTATAGTTAGTTTTTAATTCCATTAATGTTAGGTTCTTCTTCCAACAGCAAGTGATCAGAAATCACAGTGATTGTATTATTGCATATTATTATATGCTCTTTGTCAACCTAATTAAGGGTATATAATGTGTATTTGAATGGAGTGTTGTTCTTGAATAGGCCAACATGCACGAAACAATAAAATGCATCATATTTTTTTGTGAAGCACCTAAAGCCACCAGAGAGGTCTCATAACACTAATAATAATAGTAATAATAATA